ATTCAATAATTACACAAACTATTAATTTATTTTTCAAATACTTTTATATATATATATATATATATATATATATATATATATATATATATATATATATATATATATATAATAAAATAAAGAGCGATAATTTGGAAGCTACATCTAATAATAGAAAGAAAATACGTGAGTAAGAACAAAACATGTTAAAATGACACAGTAGTAGATATTCTGGTTTTAAAACATGTCTACTGGGGAGAGATCTCCACCCCCTTAGAAGGAATAAAGAGTGAGTAAGAACCAAACATGTTAAAATGACACGTATTGATTTGCGGGAATAATTTGCACTGTTTGAAGTAGTACAAGACAAGCAGATAAGGTATTTGTAATAGCCCAAGACCTACTAGGGAAAGATTTTCACACCCTTATAAGAAATGTTGCGTTCGCTTCTCCAACCGATGTGGAGTCTCACAGTATTCATGTCACAAGGAGAATACCCGATCTCAAATTCTAAATTCTAATATGAATCATTGCTTAAATGATCTGTATTGATTTGTGAGAATAATCACGCCTGTTTGAATCAGTTCAAGCTAAGTAGGTTACGTATTCATGTCTTAGAAAAGGGAATGCTCGAAAAAAGATTTTGAATCATTAACGAAAAACTCGTTAGTAAAGAAGAAATTAATCCAAATTAGGCACTAATTAAAGTAGAGAAAAGGGGATTATGGATCCAAAAAGTATAATATAAAAAAAAAAAATATATATATATATCATAATGTCCGAATTAATATGAAAATAAAAATATGTTTTCGTCACAACAAACGTCACCCAAAATTCCACAAATAAAATGAATTATAAAAATAGAAGCATATTAATGGAAATAAAGTGAGAAATTATAAAATAAAAAATAATAAAAAATGAAAAATTGTGTACTAAATATTGGAGGTTAGTGAGAATTAGTTGGTAGGTCAATTTGCCGCCCAAACTCCATCATTAATTTCCAGAATTTTAATTTTATAAATATATATATCTTTTTAATTTAATAATCATTACACTTTAAGACATAAATTTGCTGTCTCATAACAGAAACAATCTTAAATAAACACATTATTTGTTTAAGAAAATCTTTGCCGTGGAGCTGCTGCTGTTGTGAGTGCCCAACCTTTTCCTTTGCGCGTTCAAAATTTAAATCATGTTTTTCGGATTCTCGAATCGTTCGAGTTATCGAAAATATAAGAACTAAACTTGATTATTATTGGTTCATTGATCGGTTCATCATACCAAATTCAAATGATATGAGAGGACGACCACTACTTCCTTATTACTATTTAGACAATTTCAACACAATCGATTTTGTTGTTCTAATGATGGTTGTCAAAAACTAGATCTTTACACTTAGCGACCCTCTCCGAGTATCTGCTTAGTGCAAGGCCTTGTAGAACATAGAACAATGAAGTAATGTATCCATATGAGCTTCGGCCCTCCGTGGCTTGAATACAAATCAACTTGTTCATTTATGTTACCTATTGTGGACCTTCCACGTTCAACCTTTTCTAGATCTAGGAAAGGTTGTTTTGGTTTGGGAAGTGACGTTGAGGTTCGGTCAAGACTCATTTAGCTCATCTGAACTCATCTATATCATGAGAGTCTTATTTTCAGTTCAGATGATCTAGGGTTCCCCTATGTCCAAATAATCTAGCTATACTACTCCCCATCATCGTTTCAAATTATATACATACATACATACAGACGTTGTCAATCGAGATAGTTCACTATTAGAGATTAGTTGACGACTCCCTATCAATCCTCGTATAGTACAATAATAATAATCATGAAGGAACGATCTTCATATCCACCAACTACTACGATATTATGTAGACTGGTGCCAACCGAGAGAAATTTAGTATAAAAGGATAATTGGAGACACTCTAACAGTCCTACCATAATAATCTGATAGCTGTGCATATCATAACAATAAAAATCAAGCAATAATCTCTCACATTAACGTCGGAGAACATTTTTAAACAACAAAATCCATCATTTCGCCACAGTCTACCACGACTCGGGCGTAGTTTTTTTCATTTTTTTTCTCTTTGCCGACAGTCAATAAAAACGATCGTCGGAACTTTTTTTTTTTTTCAATCTTTTAATTTGAACATTACAAAAAATAGAAAAATACATACATAGGTATAGTGATTTTAGTATTTATTATTTGATGTGGGTATTATGAATATGTGTTTCAATTATGTTGAGTGGTTATTGAATTAATGTATTAAAAAGTTTGGTACATTATGAATATATAAAATGTAGAATATTGACATTTGTGTTTGTAAAATTAAATATTATTAGATTTAATTAAAAATTAGAAATTACCCATTAATTTTTTTAAAACAAAAATATATATTAAAAATGGGAAAAACCGATGTCCCGAATTCCCTACGACTGCTCTAATTTCTGCAAAAATAAATGGAATATTTTACGAGAATTGAAATAAGAGGCGGGGTGGGAACGGGAAACGCTTTCCTGCCCTCCACCCTGCTCCGTATTCATCTCGAAATAATAAACGCTATTAACTTTTTATGTGATTCCCCTGGTAAAAACTTGAGTTACTATAGTTATTCTCCCACAAGAATAAGGTAAAAAGTACAAATTTTGAGGTTGTGTCATTTCCAATAATGACTTTTGCATACGTAATTGACAACAATCTAGGATGTCATAGCTCACCAAATTAAATGTCCATTTTATGTGTCGTAAGGATAAGAAAATAAAACGACATTACATTCGATTGAGTGGTTCGTGTGATTCTTAATTTCAACAAAAGGATAAAGCTTAGATTTCATTTATGTGAAAACTTAGATTTATAATCTTAAACCTAAGCTAAAGCTAAGACCCTATAAAGTTAATGTCTAATTAATGTCCCCTCCGTCCAATATTATCTTTGCATGCATGCGTTTTTAATTCTTTTTTATTCGACAACACCAAAAATTGAAAACGATATAAGTATGTGACATTTTAGTCAATAGTAAAACCAGCTAAGCATTGTTTAGGTTAGAAAGAGTTTGATTCTTAGAAAATTGTATAAGAGTGAGCGTAACTTAGAAAATATTTTTATAAATTTAGTTTCATTATTTTTAATTTTATGTCTATTTGGTCTCTAAACTTAAAACAATGTTTAACAAGTTCTTAAATTTTTAATTTTATGTCTAATAAATTCATGAATTTTTTATTTTCTACGGGATAGATCAGTTTAACTCAAACGAAAAGATTAATTTAATAATTTTAGACGAGAAATAAAATTTTTAGAGACCTATTATAAATTTTAAAAATAAATTAAAAATTTATAGACCTATTTAAATAATTTTATAATGGAAAGAAATTAGTGATACTATAGACCTTTTAATTATTATTATAAAATAAATTTATTTTTTTAATTTATTAATTAAAAAATATATGTTTATTTACCTGAATAATTTGTTTCATCTACTTTTAAAAATGTTTTTAAAATTCTGATTTTTTTTTTTTTTTAAATTAAAAGTCATTTTCAAAGATTATAATCACAAATGATTTGATTTTTTGATTCTTTTTGTCTTTAAAAAAACAGCTATACAAATAATGATTTTATTTGTCTTGAATAATTTCTTGAAAAGTGAAAAAATTTAATTAAGAAATTATAAGTAAAAAAAAAAAAAAAATTATAAAATGTAATTTAAAAATAAAAAAACAAAATGGCTATAAAGTAATTGCATAAAAACTCATATATCTAAATTAAACAATATTGAATTAATAATCGAAAATATTATATTATTAAATTTCAATTTCATAATGTCTAAGGACATTTAAGATCGTGAAACGTCTCATACCCAAGATTTTAAATCAGAATTTGGAATTTAAATTTAACACCTTAATTGTCCCGATATTTTTATGCAACATAGACACATTAGCTACTTGTCTTAAAATACTTATAAGAGTGAAGTTTTTCCAATCGACACATGTTTTTTTAATCTCATCACGTGGATAGGGCTTGACCCTATAGCTACCAACTCTAGTACATATACGAACATTGTAAATCTAGACAGTTCATTACTAGATATTAGTTAGCCACTCACTACTCGTCTTAACCTCATACAATAATCATAACCTTTGCCCCAATATATTTTTACTCACGATACAATTATATATACATATTTTTTTATTATTATTTATCTTTCTACCGCTGTAAAAAATCATTTTTAACTACTCGAGTCAATTATTCAAAATAAATAATAAAACAATAATATTGTTAAAAAAAAAAAAAAAAGGCCATTTTACGTTTTAATTTTTCTTCACCCATCTCTTTGATAGCTCAGTGGCTCCGACCCCATCATCCCTCCTTTTGCCTCTCCTGGTGGTTGCATTTTTCATCTTTTTATTTTTAAATAATAATAATAATAATAAGAGAGAAAAAAAAAATCTCTTTTTTGAGAAAGTGGTTGTTTTTGGTGTGGCTTTCAAATAGATTTTTAAGGTCAAAGGTCATGGTTAGATTGAGCCCTTTCTTCTAACACTTTCCTTTCACCAACTGGGATAACATTCCACTCTCTTACAGGCTCAGCATCCTTGTTGGCACACTGTTCGATATCTGTCTCTGTTGTAAAAGCTCAAATCTCTCATAGTCCGTTTTGGTCCATTACGATTGTCATCAGCCTCACGGTTCTAAGACACGTCTACTAAAAAGAGACTTTCACACCCTTATAAGAAATACTTCGTTTTCCTCTCTAATCGAGCATTCTTGCTAACACACTGCCTAGTGTCTATAAAGACGAAATTCGAAATTGTAATTTAATTATTTTAGTTGGGAAAAAAAAGTAGAGTTACTAAATATTATGTGGGGGTGTATGTGTATAATTTTAGGTGGTTGGCTGTTCTTGAAGCTAATAGGCTCAATACCCTAAGTACACTAATGCCCTATCAGACATAAAAAACTGTAACCCTTTTCATCAATTTCAGGGCCTTACCCTCCTCCACTTGACACCTCTCTCTCTCTCTCTCTCTCTCATTATAAATTATCATTGCTTCATTACCCTTTACGCTCAGCTTTGCCCTTCAAAAAACCCACCTTTTCTCTCTCTCTCTCCACCGTCTCCACAGCTTTTCCGGCGGTTGTTTTTTTGCTTTCATGGCGGAGCACGACATGACTCTGTCGGTCAACGGCCACTCTCAAGTTCCTCCGGGCTTCCGTTTCCACCCCACTGAAGAGGAGCTTCTACATTATTACCTTAGGAAGAAGGTTGCCTTTCAAAAGATTGATCTTGATGTCATTCGTGATGTTGATCTTAACAAGCTCGAGCCTTGGGATATTCAAGGTTTCATTTTTATTTTTTGTCTTTTTAATGTTCTTCTCGTTTTGTGTTCCAATTTCATGTTTTTTTTTTTTTTCGTTTCGTGTAGAGAAATGCAAGATCGGATCCACCCCACAAAACGATTGGTACTTCTTTAGCCATAAGGACAAGAAGTATCCAACTGGAACTCGCACGAATCGTGCTACGGCGGTTGGATTTTGGAAAGCCACTGGTCGTGATAAGATCATTTACACTGGATCTAAAAGAATTGGGTTGAGAAAAACTTTAGTCTTTTATAAGGGACGAGCCCCTCATGGCCAAAAGTCTGATTGGATTATGCATGAATACCGTCTAGACGATTGTGACCGTGACAACAATGTAAGCTAGTAATGCAAATATTTGATCTCGTTGTATCGAATGAGAATGTTGTCATTCATTTATGCTTCTACAGATTTGTAACTCGATTGGAGAGCCACAAGTGTCGGAGGATGGGTGGGTCGTATGTCGAATTTTCAAAAAGAAGAGCTACCAAAAGTGCGTAGATAGCCCGAAGGCAGGTGGGTCGGATTCCGAGGTTCGATTACTAAACGCGAACAACGATGGAGTTTTGGATCAAATACTTAATTATATGGGAAGAACATGCAAGCTAGAAATGGAGTCATTTTCCAATATCAACTACAACAACCAATCTTCAAGATTAATACTCAACTCAAAGAACAACATAGAAGATCAACAACAAAAAGTTGACAAATCATTCATGCATCTACCAAGGCTAGATAGCCCCACAACCGTCCCTTCAATAGTCTCCCACCACCAACTCGAAACAACACCGTTCGACTACAACATCATCTTCAATCACGAGATGCTTTTAGAACCAACAGAGCCAATGCCAGAGCTCGTCCATGACCGACCTATGGTCAAGCTCGACAACTGGGTTGCCCTTGACCGACTTGTTGCATCCCAATTGAACGGTCACAACGAAAGATCCATCGAAGACAGAGAACACGAACAACAACATCATCATCATATGCAAGTATCAAGCAGAGGATTGGGATATGGGCATGAGAATGATATCTGGGGCTTCACTAAGTCAGCGTCTCCCTCATCATTAGACCCACTATCCCATTTCTCCGTTTAATTAGCCTTAGTGTATATCAAAATATCCATATTTATATATGCATCTATGTATTCCTAATAAGTTCTTCTCCATATCTATACACCGCCCAACTTTTCCAAGCTTGTACGGATTAACTTTATAAATTGCAATTTGATCAGACTTAGCTAAATTTCTATAGTTCTTGTCGTTACCATCCTTATTTTTTCGTATTAGTTGACGATATCAGGTATTCGAATAAGCATAACAGTTTATAGATGATTTATCTGGTGTATCGAGATCTTAAAAATAAAAACAATATTCAAATTATGCTTCAAAGTTTATGTAATTATTGAGTTAAAATTTGAAGATTGAAGGATAATTGGGGGGAAAATGGAGTGTGGTAGCTGTGTGAGGAGTGAGTCAATCGTTGAAATGATGTGGGGAAAGCTAATGGTCCAAAGCCGATTAATTCGTAACTAAATTGACGAGTTTGACACATCAATCATAGCATCGCGTTGACTTTATTGCCGACTTTGTGGGACCCAGATTTCGGATACCGACAAATGAGAAGCTGACGTGGTATCCTCTTATTCGCAGGTTGTCATTCCTATGTGTGTACAGTTGGCGACAACGTGTGCAGCGGTGGGGTCCACCGGAAGGTGTCTACCAGAAAAAAAATGTTTTTATTTTTTTTTTCGTTTATTTTATTTTATTTTTTTATTTTCCTCGTCGAAATAATAATAATAAAAAAAGGCGATTGCCTTTTGGAAAATCAGGTACGAATTTGAAACTGATTGTGAAGCCTTTTTCTTTTTTTAAAAAATAATAAAATTATAATTATAATTTCACCCTCATCTTTTTTTTACAATTAAGTTGCATATTTAGAATCATTCAAATTTAACACGATCGATTTTACTTGTGTAGTGATTGATTTTGGATTGAGATATTTGATCAATAAGATAATCTGAATCTTACTTTACCTTCAGGTGATTTCTTTAAAACCCTTCTCATTCGAATGTGGTCTCGGTTTATTCATGTACGTCTCATTTACTCTGATGTCATATAGTCTTGGGATCGATGCCATTTTACGAACTCAAATACAACTGACAAACTCGATGAATAAAAAATATATATATACTTTAATGATTAAGTAGGCCCTACAATCTAAACCAATTCAATGCCTTATATAAACCTCTAACCCTTTGATAAACATAGCTTAACAAACTTCTTGACCTAACATAACCCTTTTCTCCTTATTCGTTGTCTACACAATCACCTCCTAGCTTCTAAAACATCAACTTAAATGTTGTTTCGACGTAAAAACGACATAAAACATAAAAGTTTTACGAATCCAACTTTCGGTAGACCCGTGATTAGAGATATCTACGAGACGGAGCAAGATGAGAAAGCATATCACTGCCACATGTTACAATCGTCATCTCGAAAATTTTTCATTGATTTTTGCGAATATCATGTTCCTAGTCAATTCAATAATGTCTATCAACATAATGTTTTATCTCGTTTAGACAAAGATTCTCAACTTCGTTTGAGACCGATCCCTACAGTCAAATAGATATCTCTATCTATCTATTCTCAGTTAAAACGGAAATTTTTCATCTCGTTTTGGATGAATCTACGTAGGTTAAATGAACATTTCTACCCGTGGTAGACATTGTGTAAAATTAATCCAAACAAAATTTATAGATAACTGAAAATAATTTTTAAAAATTATCGAATTGATTCAAAGTCATTCAAGAACACACGACACAATTACGTCAAAGATTTAGACGTTCATGAAGAGGTTAGAAGATCAATTCGAAAGCCCAAAATTAAGAGTTATCATAAACCTATAAAGAAATAGTTAAAAAGGAAAAAGAATATATTGATTATCCCTAGATATTACTCACGTAGTGTGACTATTTTTTCTTTTCCTTCTAGAAAAACAAAGACTTGGTTTCATCATTATTTTTGGTATATTGAGATATGGCCCTCTCAAATGTTGTGCTATAAATGATAGGACATATGAAGAACATCCTCAACTTTTAAGGATGTTTTTTTGGATGAAAGATTCCAAATTCTTTCTAATAATGTCTTTTCTTTCTTAATTAATATCAATTTTTAGCGGTTCGAAAAGAAAAGGAGAACATACTAATCTATCTTAAGCTTTTGCGTTGATTTAACAAATATAACATTATAGAAACTTGCATACAGCCATCATAGTTGCAACAATTCGAACATTTTTTTGCCCTAATTTGAATCAAAATGCACATTTTGATTTCATGACGAAAATTTTGAATGGAGTTATCGATTAGATTAATTAGAGTTCAGTTATACTATTGGTATTAATCGAAGAGGATGTAATATGGGTACGAATTTGAACAAATGACCTCGTGTTCTTATATGAAATTATTTATTACTTTTTCATATTGAGGTCTCATTGTCGACTTTCTATGACTTTTAGGGTGTTCTGTTTGGAGCAACTTTTCTATGATTGAACTAAATGAATTCGAAAACGTTTTGTTTAGTGGAGAACGAAGTTTTAATGAAGAGTGTAATTGAAGCTATCCTTTGTTCATTTGATGGGGTGTTTTCAACTTCTCAAGAAAGTAATTGATGATATTAGTAGGGAAATTTCATGTTTTTGGTGGGGTTCGTTACACACTTATAACAAAATTCATTGGCTTACTTGGGAAAAACTTTTTATCTCCAAAACATGTTGGTGCTATCAATTTTAAAAACCTTATTGCTTCGTGCTAGAAGACGCTTTTTCGTGGTTTGTGAGTTGCGTTTTAGAGTGTGGAAATCTCTCCCTAGCATAAGTGTTTTAAAAAGTTTGAAGGAAAGCCTGAAAGAGAAAGTTCAAAGAAACAATATCTGCTAGCAGTAGGCTTGAATCATTACAAAAACCAAAAAGAAAATGGCTACCAAACGGCTATAAACTTTTAAAATACTTATTTTAGTTCTTGCACTTAAAAGAAAACAACCATTTGATCCATACACTATTATTTAATCATCTAAATGTAACGATTCATGTCCAGAATTCGAAATTTGGATTTGGTACATGATTACCCAGATAATCTCCTGCATCCCTTGTCACATTGTTACGTTACTTACTATTTCTTCTAAAAGTGAAGACTATCCCCATAGATCAACATATGTCATTTCAGCCTGTTTTGTCCTTATTTACATGCATTCTACGAAAATTCCTAGGATGTTACCCAATATAGAATTGCTCCAAATAAAACACGCTTAATTTTGGAGTTTCTACGATTAGGGACCGTCCTTTCTTAGCCATGCTCTTATTCATCTTATCACTTAATTACTATCTAAGTACGACTTCTTATAAGCCTTTAACTTTTAGGTGTTTTTCTATTTGGAGACTATAATTTTAAGCCACAATTTTATTTGTTGAATGTCAATTATTGATTCAGCCTTATTTTATTTGCTAATGAATAGACTAATTATCAATAATTGATAACTATTCCTCTAAACTTTATTTTAAATATCGTTTAATAATTAAAATTTTTATCTTCGAAAAGTAAGTTTGGTTACGACAACCTAACCTAATTTGATGCGATGAGGATGATATATATATATTTTTCTCTTCGTTGGAATTATTTTTATAAGTTTGAGCCAAAACTTTAGTTAAAATTTTATAGGCTTTTGATCTTTTCGAAAAAAAAAAGAAAGAAAAGACTTGTGATGGCTAATAATTAGGGGTAAATTTTGCTTCTAGTTCGTGACAGAACTTCTCTAGATATTTTCCTTAATGGGCCGATGATAATGTCGGCCCAAGTTCTCTTTGTTCGTTGTGGTCGGTAGCTTGATCCATAATATAGCCTACGTATATAAGAAACATGTCGTAGGGGATGTACAAAAATATCAAAGCCATCAAGTATCAAATTATGATCTGAATCTAGATATGGTTCGTTTCACATACGATTAACCCAACTCAATTCTAGTCATCAAATTATTTGGATTGAAATGGGTTCGAGTTAATGAACTAACAATATGCTTATGCATAACTTGTTCATATTCTTTCAACTGAGTTCTTAGCAGAGTTCACGACAAACAAGTATGAAGACCTTGAGGTGTTAGACTGAAAGATTGAAACCCATTTCTTTTTCATAAATCAGCAAAGAACTGACCTCAGATTTATTGTAAAACCACAAACAGCTCTGTATCAGATTCAACAGAGACCATCATATATGTATATTAAGATTTGGAACTCACAATGCTCATTGTTTTAGCCATCAGCTGCATATGGGGCAAAGGACAAGGCCATTTTCATTGCAATCAGGGCATTTGACAACCACAGCCTTGCCATGGCCAAGCCTTTTAAGCCCTCCTTCTTTCACTGTCATCACCAATTTACAGCTCCCATTGCACTGAAAACATGGCAGAAACCTTGCATTCCCACACCCTTCACACACCGACCCAGCTTTGATTTTTGGTAGCCCTTCAAGTAATTCACCTAAAACTCCTTCTTCTACCATTTTCAACACTTTTTCACCATTCCCTATGTACCTTCCTCTTATGAACACTCTTGGAGGAATCATGGCTTCTTGCCCTCTCCCTTTCATCAATTCCTTTAGCTCTTCTCTGAATCCTCGATCCATCGACACGTCTCGCTCGCAGATTTGAACTCCAGTGCCTTCGATCGCTGCTCTCACAGCATTGCATTCCTCAAAGGTCTTTCTTATCCCACGTAGGGTTGTCGTGTATACCACCACTCGATGCTCCCCGCTCGGTGGGCAGAGTACCTCAAATCTGAATAAGAATATGAATAAATGATTAAATACATGGAGTGATATGAATTTCTGCATTCAAACTTCTATAGTCATTTCTTTAACAAGTCCATCGTTAACAGGCATGTCTTTTTTGGAGTTTCTCTTTCGAACTTCTCTTTAAGATTGTAAAACTCGTCTATTAGGGAGAGGTTTCTACACCCTTCTAAGCAATGTTTCGTTCTCCTCTCCAACCGATTGGGATCTCACAATCCACTCTCTTTTGGGCTTCCGCTAAAGGTTTTAAAAAATTTCTATTAGGGAGAGGTTTTCACACCCTTGAAGGAATGTTTCGTTCTCCTCTCCAACCAATGTGGGATCTCACAATCTACTCCCTTTCAGGCTTCCTCGAAAGGTTTTAAAAAACGTCTACTAAAACAAAGATTTCCACACACTTATAAAATCCACCCTCTTGGGTTAGCGTCCTCCCTAGCATACTACCCGTGTCTAGTTTTGATACAATTTGTAACAATCTAAGTTGACTGTAAGCGGGCTTCCCCTCAACTTTTTAAAAGGCTTCTATATTAGAGGACTGTTCCACCTTATCCTATCTCCTATCTCCTAACTATAAATGAGCATCCGTCTAAGTTTTTGGGTTCAATTTTAGCACAACATACCTGTCGAACAAATGCTTCACAGGGGACGGTATTGTCACGGGAAGGGTCAGAGCCGCTCGAGACGATGGTCGAAGGACAGCAGATTCCACGATCTGATTCGGGCAATTGGGATTGGAATTCTCCTTGTTGGAATCAAAATCCTTGAGAGCAAATTTCTTAGATTGAGAAAGAAGAGAGAATCGAAAGCTGTCGGCATCGAGGCCATCCATGAGCTCCCAGGAATTGATAACCTCCGGCTCAGATTTAGGTTCAGAGAGGGGAGTGGGAAAAACAGAGCCAAAGGTGAACCTGGGCGGCGGAGCTGGGGTGGCAGCGGAAGGTGGGTCGAGGTTAAGAAGGCCATAAGTGGTGGAAGTAAGGGAGACGATGTGGTGGGTGAGAGCGGCGGCACCCAGTTGGGGGAAATCGTCGTCGTGGTTCAGAAGATGGGAAGAAGCACAGCCCATGATTAGCGATGAATCGGAAGAGGGGTCGAAAGGGGGAGATGAAAGATTGAATTTTTGAATGAAAGAAAGGGTTTGGTTTAGGAGTTGTGGGCTTAGCACGCGAAGTTTGGGCGCTAAAATTGAATTCAAAAGAGGGTGGCATCGCATGGGGGGGACGGACGGGGAGGCCTCCAAGGAAAGGGGGTGGGGTATCTTTTTGGTCTCATAAATTGCTTTAACAATTCGAATTTTTGACCTTTACCAACTGTTTTGAGACCCCACCAACCTCTACTCTTCCATTTTAAAATCTCTTACCCCCCAATTTTGTAATCCCTTTAATTCTCTCGGACGATCACGACCCCGACAACCTCTCCATTGAGACTCATGGAAGAAAGGCCTAACAAACTAAGGAACACCATGATACACACGAGTGATTACTATCAAACGGTGTCGTGACTTTTCTGACTAAGAGGATGAACTGATAGTTATTCTAACTTTCTGTGTAGGTTTGAACAAACATAATCCAAAAAGTTTTTGTTTATTTGAACTCGACCCGACCCAGTTCATAAAATTTTTTCCCGTCTTCAAATCTTTTGAACACTCTTATCACCCACTAAACTCAAATTTTCCCCCTTTTTTTACTTGTATTAATCTATCCTTGACAAAATATATTCGTCTTTATGAAAAGGACAAACCAAAGCCCAAAGGATCACCGACAAAATTTTGTTTTTTTCTTGTTTTTTTGTTTTTTTACCCTAGAATGAATCACTAGTTTTTTCTTTATTCAAAATCAATAAACTCAAAATTTGATCAAATAACGAAATAAATAGATGGAATATAATTATTCCAATAATTTATTGAATTTTGTATATAAAATACTACCAAATTTTTAAAAATCTTTAAAAATATCTTTAGAATTTTAAAATTTTCATTAATACTCTCAAATTGTTAAAAAAAAATTATGATCAAAGTTTAAGAGTATAATTACCATTCTTCCAAAGTTTAAGAGTAGTATTGAATTTGTGGTCAAATATTAGGGATTAATTTGAAATTGAAAACAATAGTTTACACACGATCCTAAGTAATGTTTTGTTCCCCTCTCCAATTGATGTCACAATCTACTCCATTATGGGTCCATGTCCTCGTTGGCACATACCGTAAGGAATGTTTCGTTCCTCTCTCCAACCGATATGGGATCTCACAATCCACTTCCCTTGGAGGTCAATGTTCTCGCTAGCATATCGTCGCACACCATCTTATGTTTGGCTTTGATACAATTTGTAACGACCCAAGCCCACTCCTAAGCACATAGATCTCATAATTCACTCCTCTTCGGAGCCCAAAGTACTTGCTGACATATCAACACATATCGCTCTGTGTCTGGCTCTGATACCATTTATAACAGATGAAGCCAAGTGCTAGCGAATACTATCTTATTTAGGCTTTTCTTTTCGGATTTCCACCCAAGGTTTTCAAACACTTATGTTATCGAAAGGTTTCCACACCCTTATGAATGTTTTGTTCCTCTCTTCAATCGATGTGAGATCTTACAAGACACATACGTCTTCTAATTAATTTAAGTTTACGGTTGACATGTTAATCCACCCGAGGTCTAAATTGATTTATTTATGGAAATAGACTAATTATTTGAATAAGAGAGATGAAGTAAATTAGGTAATAAAGAGGTTGTTGGATCTGACAGACCCTTCTTTTTGTTTCAGAAGAACTCTAAGCTGAGCCTTTTGACACTCCAATTTCGAATCTGAATCTCTACTCTTCGACCCTTTTGTTCGAACCACTCGCCGGAACTCCACAAACCCTTTAATCCCCCTCACTATATGAGGATTAATATTTTCCACCTCCGGCGACCCACTTGTCGGAGCTGCCACCGCCGGAATCTCCATTTTGCAGGATAATCTCTGCTCTCCCACGACGGCGTCCAATGCTGTTGATTCTGCCGGTGAAGATCCGTCGCCGACAGCATTGTTGTTGATGGAACTCGCCGAGGAATTGTCAGCCGCCGTCTGTTTTAGTTTGCCTGATTCTATCTCTGAAAGCATGTCTTCGAACACGATTTTGACCTCTGCAAGCTTCATTTGAACTCTCTCCTCTCGTAAAACCTCAGACAACCTTCAATTTCAAATCAAAAGGAAATCAAGGATTCCATGGTTATTTAGCATTACAATAAATAAATCATTCATTTTAGTTTTGTTTATAGATAAGAAGAATCAAACCTAATATAAATTGAACCGAACGAAATTCTATGTCACTCTACCTCACGTCACCTAACACACAAACAATTGTTGTAACAGTCTCAAGTCTAGATTTTCATACAATTATGAGAAATGTTTTGTTCCTTTTTTAATCGGTTTTTAGACTCTTATAAGAAATGCTTGGTACTTCTCTCACTGATGTGAGTGTAACGCGTCTATCAGAGACAGAGGTACCAATGTATGCTTCGTACCCCTCTCTATCATTGTGAGCCTAACGCGTCTATCAAGGACAGAGTACCAATGTATGCTTCGTACCCCTCTCTATCATTGTGAGCCTAACGCGTCTATCAAGGAGAGAGTACCAATGTATGCTTCGTACCCCTCTCTATCATTGTGAGCCTAACGTGTCTATCAAAGACAGAGGTACCAATGTATGCTTCGTACCCCTGTCTAACCAATGTGAGTCTAACGCATCTACAAGAGACCGAGGTACCAATGTGGGATCTCGATCATATTTATTTAATTACCTTACTAGAGATAGGTTTCCACACATTTAGAAGAAATGTTTTGTTCCACTCTCCAACCGATGTGGGATCTCACAATCCACCTCGAAAAATTTTCACATCTTTATAAGAAATGCTTTGTACTCTTATCTAACCGATGTCAGTTGGATCTCACGGTTGTTTATTCATTTATAGGGTAGATTTATTTAATTACCCTAAAAGTAAGAAAAAAGCAAAATTAAATTATGAACGAACCTTAGCATCTTCCTCTCATCTTCAATCTTCTTCTTCATCAAATCAATCTTGGTTTCATGTAAAGAAACCTCTCGTGAAAGCTGTTGACACAGTAATTCCATGGCTTCCCTTTGTTTCCTCTCTTCATCGAGCTCCTTAGTCAACCTCTTGGCCAAAGACTCGAGCTTTTTACGAGCCTTGCGCTCATACCGAAGCTCAGTCTTGAGCTCCACGATGTGGCTACGAGCAAGATCGAGCTCAGAATCCATTCGCTTTTTGGTAGGAACCAGATCGCAAAAGGAAGAAGACGAAGCTAATTTCAAGCAATAAAACTGAAGGTGCTTGTTAATGGCGGATTTATGAGGCGTTTGGCGATGAGAAGGGCTAATATAAAATGGATTTTCGTAAAGTTTCCAGCTTGGACAAGTATCGTCCTTCATCATCATCATCTTGATCTGTTCTTCTTCTTCTTCTTCTTTGAAAATCGTGAAGAGGGTGAAGAAAGGTAATGGGTTGTGGTGGTGGTGGTGGTGGTGGTAGGTCCTTTGGTCATGAATTTTGCTTTTGGGAGTGTGGGATTTGGGAAAAGGAAATAATGGCTTCACTGTCACATACAGCTCTTCCTCATTAATTACACCAAGAGGTAGGTTTTTTTTTTTTTTTTTTTTTTTTACTTTTA